TTGCTTTTCCAGCAATCTTTGAAACTCCTCAGGATGGCATTTACAAATATGTACAACAAAATCTCGGCAATCACTTAAAGAGAAGGAAAAATTGCATTTAGAAATGCACTGGAATTATTTTATTGCTTTTGTTTTGCCGGCTCTACCTAAACTTCTCAGTGTATGTTTAATACAAATATTTATATCTGTATCACAAATGCACATCTATCATTTTGTTTGTGGGGTAGGGAGGAACAATGGGTTAAGAAAGACGGCAAACACATTTCTTTCCTTCCTATTTGGCATTTGCGTAACATTAGCAGCTGTCCAAATGTATGCATGTCGTTTCCATCCTGTCTTTTGTTAAAGTAAATTCATTAAGTCAGATTACCACAATTTCCACCAAAACCTTTGGCTTTTTAACTTCCTTTTCCAGGAAACAAAAACAGCCAAACAGAATGTGCAGCCAGTTCATTTCTTCAGCCAAACTGCTTGTTCTAAGCTTTAAGCAGTTTTCCAGCTCAGAGATCTATCTAATTGGAAGAATATCTCTTTCCACAAGTACTTAACCTAACCTCCAGGATTTTCTTGTGCACCTTTTTTTTCAAGGTCTGTGCCAAATGAAACCCAGCAGATAACCAGTGAAAAAGCTTTTCCAGCATTACTTTAATGCTTTTTTAAAACTGGTGAGTAATTTTTAATTATTCTTTTTGTATCTTAAATAATCTATTTTATGTTCCTAGAGCTGAATGTATATGATAGTCTATAAGTAATGTTAGTCAAAGAAATAATATAATTGCTTTGCTTTCTATGGTTCTGGAATATCTGCGGGGGGGGGGGGGGGGGGGGGGTGGAAAGCCCTCAGATCATTTTCCCTGTGTGAGCAAATTCACCCATCCTTCACTTTGCACCAAAGTTAGAACCAGGTTCACACAATTCTTAACCACATAGAAAATTAAACCTCTTTTTTGATATGAAAAATTCCAAATGATGTAATGTCATACATGCTATCAAAATGTATGTATTGCTCCTGAAAATCCAAAATGGTTCTATTTTGTTGCA